AAGTGGAAAACCATAAGTTCTCCCTCACTAACAGATAATAAACAGACAGTATCACCATATCCTTGGAAAAACTTCACAGCTAGTGCCACCATCAAAGACTTAAAAAAGAAAGATGCAGGAGTGGTGACTTAATCCACATAAAGAACATAGTAATCTTAACTGTCTGCCTCTCCTAACACAGATAAATTTTAGCAGATGACAATGAACCCATAAGCTGAATTAGATAGTAAATTCAATTGCAACTGTCTTTTCAGTTATGGCCCATTTATTGGAATAAATTAAAATAATTCTGGCACTAAATATCCAGTTATTGATTTTGAGAATGAACGTTTACAGATTAATAGATAATACCATAATTTATTTGCACAACTTGCAAATAAAATGGTATACCTTTGTACTCTAGCCCTTTGCCATCATTTATTCTACAGGCCAGCAAACCAGAGCCCGCAGGCCAAGGACTGTTTTGATACAGACTTCCACCTGAGATGTATTTTACATTTTTAAAGGGTTGTAGGAAGAGAAAGGAGAAGGAAGGGGAGGTGGAGAAGAAAAAAAGGAAGAGAAGCAAATAAGAAATGTATGATGATATGCTAAGTAATAATTTAAAAACTTGTATCAGATACAAGATCAGAATTTTTTATGTAAAGTATTTTAAAAGACACACTGAAGAGAATTATGGAATTTTAGTTTATAAGTAGACATAGCCTAGTTTTCCCTTCCCTATGACAACAGGTCTCCATCAATAATATGTTTTCTTGAAGATATTACCCACTTACTCTGTTCCAAAACAGATAGTGTTTTAAAAATATGTGAAAAAGTAACCCATTATCAAAAGAAAGTTGAATTAAAAGAGAAATTTGGAAATTGACTGTTTGAAATTCTTTCCATGATTTTTGTTACTGGAAATTATTTAAACTCATTAAATATAAAAATACTCATCTAACTCGTTAGAAAACGTGAAAACATAATCATTTTAATCTTTTAAAGCATTTTCTTAATAAAACATTTATGTGTTTTTAAAAAATTACATAGAAATGCAAAATCAAGACAGCTGATTAACATTAGAAAAAACAGAAATGTAGTCACTCAATTTCAAAAAATATATTTGAATGGGATTGAAGAATAATTATTGTGATTTCCACTTCATTTAAAATGGATCCACATTATTGTGAAGCATTAACTTTGCACTATGACAACCCACTTAACCAAGTACTAGGTAAAATAAACTTGTAATAAGACTTGCAGATCATTTCACACAATAATTACATAAGTATTTGCAAGTATAATAAAGTACATTTAATTAAAATGAAACTAATATTTATACCATTAGTAAAATTAAAAGTTATACTGTAAAGTTATATTATTAAAATATATTGATCATTTTGTATAATTTCATTTATTAATTCCTATTTTTCTATTAAAATTTCAAAATATTTTATACTGTTGTTTATATATAAATTATAAACTGATAAATGTGCATGTACCATGAAAAATATATATATATATTTACTAGTTGAATGTTTGATAAACACCAGTTGCACACCTATACTTATAAAAAGAAAAGCAAGTCCATAATTTTGGAGAACATAGTAAACTTAATATTTGAAGGGAGGGTTTATTTTTCTTATAAGCGATTTTTTTCTCAAGCTCCATATCATTAGTACCATAAATATTTTCTCATATGACATAATTTCTAAATTTATGATAATATTGATTATTCTTTTACTTCAATAGATTTTTAAAAGGATAAAACTAAACAGAAATTTTGAGATATGTATGATACAAAGGGACTTTATTGTATCATACAATTGAATTATCTCTTCAATGCTCATAAAAACTCCACATTTATAGTAAACGTGTAGTTTTCTAACACCTAAATATTTTTTTCATATTGCCTGTCATCAAGTCCAATCCATTAATTATTCTATAATAGACATCCTTAATCTAGGCTTACATTTTTATATTAAGCCCCATCAAATGCCACATTTTAATCTTATTTTACAGGTGAACGTATTAACTTCATTCATCTCCTGTCATTTGCTGCCTTATTTATTTTATTTATTCCTTAGTAGGCACTGGGTTGGATGAAGAGAATGTAGAAAACTATGAGATTTAGAGTTCATTGCAAGAAACAAATATAGTTAATTACATGTGCTATGATAAGCACCATCTAGAGTTGACTACAAACACTACAAAATTCACGTATGAAGTGACTAACATATACTTGTCGACCAGCCTTCCACAGAAGTCTCCATGTTAATTAGCTTTAACTGATTGAAGTTTTGCAAGCTAGCAGAGATTTGGGCAATGGGCAGGCATTCGATATATGTGACAGCACACAAGTTTTGCAATATACTTAGTTGTTTAGTGTGGTTACATCATAGAAGTACTAGTTGGAAGAGATAAGAAACAAAACTGGACAGGCCAGATTATGCAAATATTTGGGGAATTTTGTCATTATTTTGCAGGCAACAGAAAACCATCAGTAATTTGTTAGCAGAGTGGTGGCACGATTGATTTGTATTTTAGAAAGTATCCTACCAGCAATGTGGAGGATGAGTTAGAGATCAAAGGCAGGAAGGCTATGTATTAGACAATTGACATACCTTGAGTCTAGCTTGTCTTAATACTTATTCAGTATATATTAGGTTGGTGCAAAAGAAATTGTGATTTCACCATTACTTTTAGTGGTGAAATTAAATTTTATGGTGAAATTTCAATTCCTTTTAATGGTGAAACCTCAATTTCTTTTGCACTAACCTAATACTGGTGAAAAACAGTTGATTATTTTTTTTCCTTTTCAGTTCCAGAAAAATGAATATTAGAAATGAGTTAAACAACTGAATAAATGATATTTTAATAATTTTTTAAAATCCTAGCACAATTTAAAAATTTTAAGCTCCTATAATGGACCCTGATCTCTAGTATTTACAAAATAAATCAGATTACTAGTGATTTATTTCAAATTAAGTAAAAAATGACCTTCACTAATCTTTTCCCATCATAACTTAGGCCTAGGGTTTCTTTCCTTTTGCATTTTCCGTTATCTACTTACAAACAGCCTAGAAATAGAAAAAAATCCATCTATTCTAAGTAGGTAAGTCTACTAAGTATATTTCTGAATTTCACAAAGTTGTCAATAATTCATTTTTGGATAAAGAAAAAGGGGAGAAGTTACAGTTTTTAATATACATTAAATGATTTATGATTTACCTATATATTAGACTTTAAAAAGAGCTGAACTTAGAGTTCATGTATAAAGAATAAATTTTAAAACTAAGCAATGTAATACTTAGAAATATAAAATAAATACGCTACATATTTGCATTTGGCAACAACTTAAATTGTGGAGAAGTGTGTTCAGAAGAAAATCTGAGATATTCCAGATCAGACTTTTTTCAGATTCCAAACATTTTGAGTCAACTTTTCTTGAGTATAGTTAATACCTATAAAGTATAATTATTTATGTGTATAAACTTAAATTCCTGATGCAAAGAAAGCCAAATAGTGAAAGGTAAAGAATACTCCCCAGATATTTTATTTTCTATTTTCAAATAAAATGTTCTTAAAGTATTGCAGTATTATAAAAACCATTTACACGTACATGGTTTATACACTATTTAAAATGTCTATTTGAATCTTTTCAACTTCTCAATGCCCCACTAATATTTATTTAGATATATATATTTAAAGCTTCTCACTAATGCTTGTAAAATTCATATAAAATTTCTTGCTAGCCTGGGGATATGACAAAGTTATATATACTTGGAAATACATTAAGATAAATTGTATATAATAATTTTATAAGTCAAAAAAATAAATCCTGTCAGAATTATTCATAAGGTCATCAGTTACCTTATGTGGAAGCTAAGTCATAGACAAATATTTATTGAGGAAACTGACATTAGTCTTTCAGAAAAAGTTTTTTTGTTTTATAACACTGAGATATGATACTTTTCAAAGGAAAAGTTTTTAAATACTCTGCACATGATCAGTCATTATATCTAATTTTATGTTCAAATCACTAATTTGAAAAATAAGGTACTCTGTGGAGCTGTAAGATCTTAATTTTATCTATGACATCCATAAATCTATAGAATGTTCTACAAAGATCTTACTGTTCTTTTGCATTCTGAGTGACTTAAGAGCAGAGAGAGATTTTCACTCCGTTTTGCTAAAAATGTGTAAGCGATGAGTGGACATGAAAGCATCATTTTTGTCATCCTTGGGTTTTTGTTTTTGTTGTCATCAACAAATTATTTAATCCTTATGACTTATACTTTTTAATCCATAAATGAAGCATATAAATACCTGTCTTACAGAGTTTTGAAGATGGAACTAATAAATTTAATAAAATCTGGCACACTGTAAACAATAAATGCCAGCTATAATTTCTATATGATAGTTGCAATAACAGTAATGCTTTAACCTCTCTGAAGTTCCTTTCATTTATTTCTGAAAATACACTATATCTCTAAGCCTGGTTAAAAAAACTGAAGCTATTAAACTGTGTAATTAAAGAAATGCCATCACATTGATCTGCTTCGAGATTCTACTAAACACTAAGTAATAAATCAGATTTCACTTTTGTATCCACCAATAATGCACTCGGTAAGTGATCAAACCTAGGTAGTCTACTGAACTCTATGTAGAATATGTGACAAATTGGGTCCCTGAATTCCAGAAGAGTGGAAAAGAGCGTAGAAAAACTGAAGTCTCACTTTGTCTTCTTCTGAGAGAATTTTGAGAGGAAATCAAAGAGGCACTAAATAACAGGCAAATGATTTTTACCAAAACCAGGAAATATCTTTTCTACACGCTCTCAGCATGAGGAAGAAATGGGAGTCAAGATTAGGCTTTGGAGATTAGGAAGGCCATAATGAAAATTATAAGTCAAAAAAGAGGTAATATTACTGAATACAAGCATTGAAAAACTTTGTACATACTCCACTCTGCTTCTTTTATTTTACTAATAACCTTAATAATATCATTGAAGTGATTCATTTCATTGAGAAAAGTTCAATCTTTTTGACTATGTGCTTAAAAACATATTTTACTTGTTTGTTTCTCAGTGTATAAATAAAGGGATTCAACATGGGGGCAACAGAAGTGCTGAGCAGAGCTATCCCTTTATTTAATGACACTCTTTCTTTTGCTGAGGGTTTCACATACATGAAGATACAGCTGCCATAAGAAATGGACACGACCACCATGTGAGAAGAACATGTAGAAAATGCTTTTTTTCTCTGTTGAGAAGAAGGTATTTTCAGAACAGTCCTGAAAATATTTGTGTAGGAGAGAATCACTAATACCAGTGTAACCAGGAGCGTCAAAATGGCTGAGAGAAGCATCATTAATTCTATTACGTTGGTGTCTGTGCAAGAGAGCTGCAGTACAGGAGAAACATCACAGAAGAAATGATCTACAGTGTTGGCTGCGCAGAAATCAAGCTGGAGACCCATCAGGAGTGGTGGAAAAATTATTAGGAAGCCAGCCATCCATGAAGCAAAGACTAGCAAGTTGCAAACTCTGCTGCTCATGATGGTGGTGTAATGCAGGGGTTTGCAGATGGCCACATAGCGGTCAAAGGACATGGCAGCCAGAAGAAAAAATTCAGTTGCCCCAAAGAGAATAGTGAAAAACAGTTGTGCTGCACAATCGTTGTAAGAAATGGTCTTATCACCTGTTGCCATACTAACAAGAAATTTGGGAATACAGACAGTTGTGAACGAGACTTCTAAAAATGAGAAATTTCGGAGGAAGAAATACATGGGTGTCTTGAGATGCAAATCCAGTAGAGTGAGGGTGATGATGGTTAGATTCCCAGTGACGCTCAACATGTAGGTGAAAAAAAGGAGAAGAAAAATAATCACCTGTAATTGTGGATCATCTGTCAGTCCAAGAAGAATAAAGTTTGCTACTGTTGTATGGTTTCTCATAGTGGATTTCTATTTTAAAAAATAGGAAGAAAAATTAGAACAGAAGAGGAAAGATCTGCATGAGACACCAATTTTTCTTGAAATCACCATAAATACATTGCTACACACACCCAATCTCCTTTAACAGCAGCCTATAAAAATTAGCTTATGTGATTTTTACTCAAAATGTTGCTAAATACGTGGAACTTTTTGAGTTTTTTCTGTTTTCTCAATGGCCATAAATTTAAGCATTTCAAAGGGATAATATGTTGCATCGATAAAGTCATGTCAATGTAAAAACAAACACAAGAACTATCATAATATTTCAACTTTTATATTCTGTATTTGAATTTTTTCTGAAGCATTTAAATTATTTTATACTATCTAGTGATTCATTCTTTGCTCAACGACATTTTTTTTCTGTGTTTTTTTGTCTTTTTACTAGACTTCACGATTCATTAATTCAGATTTCAGCTGAGAACTCCGTCTTTTAAAATCAAAGTAAATTTAAACATCTCTTGGCTTCCACAGTGGGAATTCAATACCCTCACCAAACTTCTAAAAACTCTCCAAGATCTGCATCCTCATAACCATTTTTAGCTCTGCTTTCCCAATTTTCCTGAAAACTTGAATTTACATTTATCTCACTCACTCTGGTTGTTCTCTTTTCTGTATTTATCCAAGCAGATATAAACTATATCCTTACACATGATGCTTGTGTTGTTTAGGTAGTACTTTTGCAGAATATTTGCAGTGACAGAGAAGGGTCCCACAAAACAAACTATTAAAAAATAAAATGTGGCTTGTGCCTGTAATCCCAGCTACTTTGAAGAATGAGGCAGGAGGATTGCTTTGAGCCCAAAATTCAAGGCTTCAGTGAACTATGATCATGCCACTGCACTCCAGCCTGCATGACAGAGCAAGACCACGCCTATAAATAAATCATTGAAAATCAAATGTTAGCTGGACTTCCCCGGTAATTGTCATTAGTGTCACTGCTCTGCATGTTTCTCCCTGTTGCCATGGCCATCTCTTTTCTTCTGTATCTTATTCACATCCTCTCTCTTTTTTCTAGTTCAGCACATAGCAATTCAAAATTATGTTAACTTTTTAATTTTTCTTGTTTTTCTATCTTTTTCCAGACCATGCTTAGGTCTCATGTTTGTCACCTGAGAAGTCTATCATCATATCATCACCAAATTTTTCTTAATACTGACAACACTTTCCCTAAGAAGAATATTGTGCCATATGTAAAATTGTATGTGAACGTTATTACATTGTGTATGTTCCAGCTCTGGGGTGAAACACATACACAAGCATTTCCAGTGATTATAAATGATTACAAAATAACTAAAATTTTGTCCTAACCTCTCTTCATTTTCTTTTGTAATTTTCCCCTTCCTTTCCCATTACTTTTGATTGATCATTTTTCTAAAAATGTATGTCATTTAAATGTAATCCATACTCATAAGGAAGTTTTTTAAAATTAAAGATCATAGTTTATATTAAAGCTCAAAAAACACAGGAAAACCTCAATCAACAAACGATTAGTTATAAGCCAGAGAATACAGTCAGAAAGCAATTTATATGGACACTCTCCAGCCTAAATTTAAATTACAAAATCTAAAAATAAAAAGCAAAACAGCAATGAAAAAAAACTATTATAATCTACTTGACAGCATTAATTTTCTACTAAATCCCATAATAAAATCCTTGCTGGGTGATAGTAAAATAGTCATATGTTTCCAACCGCCATTATAGTTCCAGAGGCAACTGCAGCTGTTTTGGCAAGTTATAGGTAAGATAGATTCCTCTGGGATATGAAAAGTAGATTTTACATGAGATGTTTAAATAACATTGAATGCAACATGACTACATATAGGCAAAATTTTTTTCAAGTTCAGAAAAAAATTATTTTTCCAGTATTATATTTCACAGTGTTTACAAAGACTATGCATACTAGAGGCATATGCAATTATAATTATGGAAATGAAAATGCATTCATTTAATAAAATGCATTTCTGAGATTCGATTGTATGTTGCAAAGAATATTTCTTCAAAACTAGGTATCTGCAAGGTGAAAGGTTCAAAGCTTTCCTATAACACAATTAATTTTTTCAGTATAACTTCTCAAATGGTTAGCTTAATGTTTGCTTTGTACAAAAAAAACAAAAACTAGTTATAATTTCATGCCATACTGTTTCAATAGCTTTACAAAGAAATTATTTTCTTCCTCTAGCTTCATGCAACAAAGTTAGTATGATTAAAATAAAGACATAATTTTTTCCAAACCTTACTTTATTTAGTAGCAATTTCATTCCCAATTGTCTGTTTTTAGGTGAGTCCCAGCACAGAGGTAATTTTTGAATATTGCATATCCTCATATTTTTATGTTGCTTTCGTCCATATTTCTCATCCAAAAATACATTAACACCAGAAACACTCAGGATGTTTAGGCTTGAAGATGTTATTATGGCATGAATCTTACCTTGGTTCATTTCTTCTCATGATTTTTATTAATAAGATGAAATGTTCTCAGATTTATGTTGTTTTAAATTAAATTTGGAGCATATATCTATCTATGTTTATCATATCTCTTCTATATATACATATATATATAAAATCTAGAGAGAAGAAGAACAAAGAGAAGGTTTCTAGCTTGTTCACTCTGAGATGTTTCTAGTCTATGCAAGGAATAGGATAGCTTATAGTTGTTGAGACTGGAAGAACTAGAATCCTTTTTATACACTGTGCCATTTGTCTCAAGAGGATTAACTGATTTAGTCATTTTATAAAAGAAGGAAACATTTCCCTGAAGACTATTGTACTAGGATGTTGAAGACGTATTAAAATCATTTTATTGAGTGACAAAAACTCTATAATTCCTAACGTGAAGTTTAAAAACCAGAAAAGAACTACATTTTGAAGTGGCTATATGTTATAAACTATAAGGTAATTTAAAAAATACTTAAGTTGGCTTACATGTTCATAAAAAGCACACATTTCACAAAAGGATAAACTCACTGATCTATAGTGTGGAACAACCTAAGAGCACTACTAAAATTTTTGGTTCAGATTAATTCAATAAAGACTTATATATAAGACTTATAAAGACTTATATTCCTTAGGTTCACTCTCAATGCTATCTTTTCGTGTGGCAGATTTAGAGACAATCAGCTTTAGAATCTAGAAATCTAGGCTATGTCATCATTAACAAAGAAAATAGTGTGTGAGGTGACATTAGTATATCAGGGTCAAAAGTATAAAAAATTGGATTAAAGAGAAATAAGGCCAATATTGAGTTTCTCAGGACAGACACATGCAAGTCAAATGTGTTTGCATCTGCTAAGTGTCCACATCCATTCTGTAGGAAAATTTTATTGGTTCTACATAAAAACTTTTTTTCAAATTCTTGTACTTTTTAACATTTCCACTGCTAAGTACTTTATACTAGCTGCCATAGCAGATAAATTTTAAAATTATTGAGGCTTGAACACCACACATTTTTAAACATTTTATGATGTATAAAATGCAATTATCCTAATTATACAGTTTGGTCACCTTTCATGTGAATATATCCACGTGAGTAAGATTCAGATGAAAAAAAAGGAAAGTTAGCAGTATTCCAGAATTCTTGCTCTTCCTCCCTTCTGGTCATTCACCCTTCAAGCCCATCACTATCTTGAATTCCAGTAGAATAGATTAGTTTTGCCACTTTTAACAAAATAGAAAGCATTTCTTGAAAATTTAAGGTCAAATATGCAGCATGTAGGTCAGGGACTGTGTGCGTTTGTTAGGAGAGGTGAGATGGTGATGTTTAACCCTATGCAGTCATTCAGAGAGTCTATCTAATTAACACTGACATCTTGAATGTAGATCTACAGCCAGCAGGGCAGGATAAGAAAAAGAGCAATGAATCACTTAGGCGGTTTTTATTGTGAGGCATGGAAGTGATTTTCCTAACGTTCATGCACATTCCATTGGCATGGAATGAATTCCATCACGCAGCCAAACCTAAATACTAAAACGTTGGGATATCTAGTCTAGATCGGTCCAGCAAGAAAAGTTTTGTGATTAGATGAACAGTGTCTGCTAGAATTTCCATCATTCTAATCCAACCTACTATTAAAACAGGAAAAGTTCCCTCTTCTCCCTCACAGGGCGCGCGATGGGGGAGTGGCTCACTTCTTGGGTGTCCCACTGCTGAAACCTCTAGGGGGAGCATGCAGACGGGCAGGTTGTGGGGTTCCAACTCCATGGCAGTTTCTAGGGGTGAATGTTTACAGCTGAAATCCCAATGGGTGAGTATTACAGGGTGCTCTTTTAGTTTAGTTGTCTGTAGGCAACTTGTGTTAGTCAGCTCAATTAGACCCTCTGCCTTATCTCAAGGACAGAGGGCTTTCTGTATCCTGGGGTTTCTTGCCTTGGTGTACTGGAAGAATCAGAGGACATGTCGGCTGGGAGAATGAGTGCAAGGTTTTATTGAGTGGAAGCAGCTCTCAGCAGTTGGGGAGCAAGAAGGTGATGAAGTGGGAAGGGAGTTTTCTCCTGGAGTCTGGCCGCTCATCCGCCTGGGCTTTCCTCCAGTCACCCCGGCCAAACTCCACGTCGTTCCACTGGTAGATGGTCTGCCGCCCTGCTGGTGTCTGTCAGTGTGCTCTTCCACCAGCGTGCTCCCCTTGATGTCCTCTTGATGACTAGCCACCTGTGTCTTCTTCCACTGATGTGTTCCTCCTCACTTCTTCGATGCCCCACTACTCAAACCTCTAGGGGGAGCACGCAGACGGGCTGTCTGTATCCTGGGGTTTCTTGCCTTGGTGTACTAAAAGAATCAGAGGACATGTCGGCTTGGAGAATGAGTGCAAGGTTTTATTGAGTGAAAACAGCTCTCAGCAGATGGGGGAGCCAGAGGGGTGATGAAGTTGGAAAGTGGTTTTCCCTTGGAGTCGGGCTGCTCATTGTCTGGGGTTCTCCTCCAACCACCCCGACCAGACTCCATGTCGTTCCACTGGTCCATGGTCTGCCAGTCT